AGGGGGCGGGGCTTTCGCAGACCGGGTGGCGTTCCTTCGCGACTTGTAGGAAAAGCAGCTTGTGGGAGTGGGCGTGTCATTTGACAGGAAAAGTACGCACTGTGCGTGATGACGTAGGGCGTTGATTGGAAGAGAGACCGCGCATACCGGCGCCCCACCTTCAGCCCAAGTCGACCTCTTCCTTGCGCTCGAGGTAGGCGGGAAGCGTCCGTGTGTGCGTGTTGCCGGCGGGTCAGGGTTGGCCGGGTCCCCCTCGCCTGGCTGCAGGGCTGCGTCGGCCAGTGGTGGGCGGCCCGAGTGTAGAGGCAGCCTCTGGTTCCCGCTCCTGCCTCCCAGGCAGGTGGCACGCGCGCGGCCTTGGAGGCCCGCCTGCACTTGAGACTCCACTGGGCATGGCCGGCTGAGGACTTGAGCGGGATTTGGGGGCGGAATGAGGACAGATGCGTCCACTAGAGGACCGAGCCTCCTGGAGCGGGAATCCCTCAAGTCCCGAGGGTGCCCATGGTAGAACGGAACTTTCACATCCATCAGAGTGGCCACCCTGAGCCCCCGCCTTAAGGGATAACGAAGGCGAGGCTGCTGGAAAGATGCCCACTCACCTCTGGGTCTCGGGGACCGAGAGCTCTCCAGGCAGCAGGACCCAGCGTCCACATTCCTCACGAGTAACCACGGGCCCTTAGAACAGATCTCAAAGGAATTGATATTTTTAGGTTTAAATTTGCTCGGTACTGAACTTAACTTTCTTTCATCTAGTGACCCGTTACCAACATGTCAGGGTGGGAGTCTTTTTACAAAAACGAGGGCGATGAAGAAGAAGAGCAGGAGGAGGGCCCGGAAGCAGGGGGTAGGTGACTGTCACCTGTACCGCTGTGTGTGTGGAATCTCTCCCTGCCTGTCTGCTGGGTGTCCTTTGCTGTCTAATGGCCTGCCCTCCTCCCCTGAGGACCTCAGATACCTTTCTCCCTTTGGACTTTGCGGAGCTACCCTAGGCTCTTTCATTCACGGCCTGCGCTAGACTATGGGGCATTTCCAGCTTAAGCTTTTGCTGGGCGCTGACTGGTAGGTTGACATCTGTGGAGCTCCAGTAAATGACCCTGAGCAGTGGCATCTTCTGTTACCTTAGATGGCTCAGGTGAGCCTTTTCCTGTTCCAGGAAAGTACTTTTCTGTTGTTGTTGTTGTTTTTTAATATATTTTATTGATTTTTTTACAGAGAGGAAGGAAGAGGAATAGAGAGAAACATTGATCAGCTGCCTCCTGCACATCTCCTACTGGGGATGTGCCTGCAACCAAGGTACATGCCCTTGACTGGAATCGAACCCGGGACCCTTGAGTCCGCAGGCCGACGCTCTATCCACTGAGCCAAACGGGTCAGGGCATGTTGTTGTTTTTTTAATCCTCACGCTAGGTTATGTCTTTGTTGATTTTAGAGAAGAAGAGGGAGAGAGAGAGAGAGAGAGAGAGAGAAAGAGAGAGAGAGAGACATCAATGGATTTGCCTCCCATATGCACCTCCATCATGCATTGAACCCACAACTGAGGTATGTGCCCTGACCAGAAATCAAACCTGAATCCTTTCAGTGTACAAGAGGATGCTCCAACCAATTGAGCCGCCCGTCCCGGGCCCAGGAATATAGTTTTACTCATCCTAGTACCTCAATATAGAAATGCCTTCCTATAGTAATTGCAGCAACCAGAGTAAACGTGAGCAACGCAGTTACAGCTGTCATTCCCTTACCATAACCTCCAGGTTTGGGGGTATATGTTCAGCCAACACACTAACACATAGGACAAAGAAAGAGAAATAAGGGATACATGTATCTGTATACTATTTAGTTTAAGTCTGAAAACTTTAAAATGTTTTTATTAAAACTGAGAAACAGGAAATGTGGAAAAAAGAGAATATTTATTATAATCTATGTAATCTATCACCCTAACACAACTACTAGCATTTTGGCATTTTGCATATTTCCTTGAGAGAAACAAACATAGATGTAAGAGAGACACATCGATCGGTTACCTCCTGCATGTGCCCTGACTGGGACTAGGGATTGACCTGCAACCCAGGCACATGCCTTTGACCAGGAATTGAACCTGCAACCCTTCTGGTGTGTGGGCTGACGCTCTAACCACTGAGAACACTGGCCAGGGCTGGATATTTAAATTATTTTCAACTTCTTACTTTAATAAATAATATTGGGGAAAATTTTGCATAAGGGTTTTTTTCATATATTATTTTCTTAAGATAGATTTTTTAAGAGGTAGAATTTTCTGGGTCAAAATGGAATTTTGTTTAAGGCTCTTGACACATGGTCATACTGTTTTAATAAAAGATGGGTAATGAGCCTGGCCAGCGTGGCTCAGTGGTTGAGCATCGACCTAGGAACCAGGAGGTCCCGGGTTCGATTCCCGGTCAAGGGCACATGCCCGGGTTGAGGGCTCGATCCCCAGTCGGGGGCGTGCAGGAGGCAGCCAATCCATGCTTCTCTCTCATCATGGATGTTTCTATCTCTCTCTACCTCTCCCTTCCTCTCTGAAATCAATAAAAATATATTTTTTTAAAAAAGATGGGTAATGAAATTTATTGCATTAAGCAGCAATGTTAAAAAAGGAGACCATCAGACATATGAAGAACACAACATCACCCTTGATATAACCATGCCAAAATAAAGAAAACCGGCATGTGATGAGCCTCTCTGGTCCGTGGTAGGAAACACGGAGGCTGTGGTAACCTACACCAAAAGAATGCAGTCAGCAAAATCCAGAAGGCGGACAACTGCACATGACACAACATCCTGGTTCTTCAACAAGTACATTGTGAGACAAATGATGGAGGGGGTTAGCTAGAGCTTACGAGGCTTCAAAAACATTAAAAAAAAAAACCCACTAGTGTGTAGGAGTGTTTGCTTGGATGAGAAAACTATGAAGAAAAATAGGGAGTGCCCTAGCCAGTTTGGCTCAGTGGACAGAGCTTCGGCCTGCGGACTGAAGGGTCCCGGGTTCGATTCTGGTCAAGGGCACATGCCCGGGTTGTGAGCTCAGTCCCCAGTGGGGGGCACACAGGAGGCAGCCAATCAATGATTCTCTCTCATCATTGATGTTTCTGTCTCTCCCTCTCCTTTCCTCTCTGAAATCAATAAAAATATTTTTTTTTAAAAAAAAGAAAAAAACAAGGAGGTGAAGTCAGGATAGTGGCTGCTCTTGGGAATGTTACCAGATAAATGTGTGGAAGGTCTTTCTCCATTGCTAGTGGGAGTGGGGTTCTTGGGGTACCACTGATATAAGAATTTCCAGAGGCCCCTATGGGAGGATGAGATATGGTAGAAAGCTTTGTTTTTGTGGAATTACATCCTTGGGCTTATAAAGTCCCATTTCCATTGGATTCTAGTCCTAGAAGCTGTATAGCTGGGGATTCAGTAGAAGTAGAAGCAAAGCCCACTTAATACAATAAATTTAATTACCCATCTTTTATTAAAACAATATGACATATGTGTCAAGAGCCTTAAACAAAATTCTACCTTGACCTAGGAAATTCTACCTCTTAAAAATTTATCTTAAGAAAATAATATATATCCAAAATTTCTGTTCCAGTATGAAGCTGGGTCCAGTTTAGCATTAGGCTAGTTGCAATCTATTAATCCGTTGTGTGTGGGGTTCACATGGCTGTGACCCTTTGGGTGAATGTAGAAATGTGAGAACTCTGCAAGCCCGGAGTCAACTTCAGCAAGCAAGAGCACAAAAGAGCAAGCTCCTTCGTTTAGGAGATTAAATATCTTAAAACTTCCCAAGCTTGCAGTGGTCACACCTCCTCTGGCTAATGACCTGTTCCCAGGTGTGGCTGACAGACAAGCACCTTACCCGTTTCATCCAGACTTCATTGGTCCTGCATCTAAACCGCAGCTTCCTGGCAAAGCTGCACAAATCGCATGCCCATATTTGGCCTTCCCTTTGCTCCTTTCCAGTTATTCATAACTAGGTTAAATGACAATGCTATCAGGAGGAGGCTCAGCATTGTAATTGGGAGGGAACATGGAGAGGGCTTCTGGGTGACTGGTAAGATTCACTGTGGGTAGTGGTTTTAAGGGTGTTCATGCTATATAATAAAAGGCTAGTATGCAAATCGTCCCCTTGATGTCCCCCTTCCCCCCCACCTCAATTGGGAGCAGGGCCGGCCCGCCAACTGCCCATGGCTCCTCCCCACAGGCTGGCCCTGCTCGATAGCCCAGACCCCTCCCCTGCACGGATTCATGCACCGGGCCTCTAGTCTTATAATAATTCATCAGGCTATACTTCTGCTTAATGGGCTTTTCTCTATTTGTTCTCTTTAAATAATAAACATCATAAATATGAACACAAGGGCAAGCATTTCCTTCCTTTTTTTCCTCCCTGTAGGAGAATACACCTATTCAGGAAGAGATAGTTTGATTTTTTTGGTTGATGCTTCTAGGGCCATGTTTAAGTCAGAAGGTGAAGATGAAATGACTCCTTTTGACATGAGCATCCAGGTAAGACTACCTTTTTATTTAAAACAAACAAAACCCCAAAGTATTAACACTACTTTTAAAAATATGGGCTCTGTGTGAAAATTTTGTTTGTGAA